GGGGGGGCTGGTTGACCTCTGATGACCTCTAGAAATTTTTATTAATATTTTTAAAATGATTGCAGCACAAACCAGCACAAACGTTTGATACCACTTTTGTTGGATTTGAAGAAGGTGGGGGGGCCACCTTCACTCACATATGTTACGCTCAAAAAGACTGAATATAAACTGTTGAACCACAAGATGGTGCAGTGAGTCAGTGTAATGTTTAATCCAACATTGCGCAAAATAGTCAAGTTGGTGTTACCGTCTTACTTGGTTACTTTAGTAGCTCAATGAAATTCCCCAAGCAGTTTGTTGTGGTTTGTTAACTAACAACTAACAGGAATATTGGATTTGTAAAAATTACAAAATAATTCCAAGAGTACATAAAACAATTCAACGCTTTTTGGAACAGACAACAGCACTAAAGCTCTGGTAAAATACTGCCACCTTGTGGTTAAATTTTTTAATTTTTTTAGAGGGCATTTCATTGTTTCTCTGGCACAAAAGGCACATCATATCGACCCAATCGGTGTGTTAAATTCACACGAAAAGGTAAGCCACAACTATATAATATAACGTGTATAGTAATGTTTTGTTGACAAATCACTGTCCACATTGTTTTGAAGGACCATTTTCTATTCCAGTGGAGATGGAACTTGCAAAATTAGCATGGCCCATAGAGCCACATTAATATGAAAGACACCAGGTTAAAATAAACCCATCAAAGATTAAATAACTTTACATTCGTTGTTTACATTCATGATTGGCTGTTAGCACTCATCCACCTTGTAACTGCCTTTACTTTTTTTACACACTTGTGCAATTTTACTGCTCTGCAACTCTTCTATTTCAAAGAATATTAGAAATACAATGCAGTCCAGTACAAAACCACCACCTGGAGGAATCCTAATAAAAAAACACTAAACTACTACATCTGTTACACTGTAACCACAATGTAACCAAAAGTAAGAAAATGCTTTTCTGACTGCACGGAAAACGTTCTCCTTTAATCAGCAATGTAAGGTGACACCGAGCTCCAGCTGCTGTAAGCACACTGACAAAATCTGTCTTAACAAGGTGGAAAATAACATTTTACATTCAAACAGCATTTTAAAACGTGCAATTTAATTACTCTGTGTAAACTACAGAGTGCATGAATCTGCTTTTCTTGCATGCGTGGAAGCAGAAGCAGACTTGTTTTGCACACTTGCTCGCTTCAGGTCTTGCTCTCTGACA